TGGGGGGCTGTGGGCCATGGCACTGGGCTACCACCGATGACCGCTGAGAATGAACAGAATAAACAACCAAACATGGTCAACCGACCGGGTCAAGTTGTGACCCACAGTCAAATGGATGTCATATACCTACAGTAGCACTGGCCGAATGTCCTATAATTGGTGTACTGATAGAGTACCTGGAAAAAAGGCTTGAACATAATTACACTATATCCACACCCTGTGGTCTCTCCTCTCCGCAGGGTTGCAACTGGGTGATGAGGAAACAAAGGTGCAACTCCCGTTGGAATTTGGAAGTTCCTCCATTCATCCACCGCCACGAGCCGTTTCATCCGGCAAGGATGAAGGACGCTTGCTTTAGGAGACCACTCGATGTCGCCCCCCATGCCCCCTCTCGTTCGCGGTGGACCTCTGCTGTGCTGGAGGTCTCTGAACGGTTTCATTGGGTCCGAGTCTGTTTCATTCTTTTCCGCTGGGGTTGGTCATCCAAACGCATCCAGTGGATTGCCCCCCGCCCAAAAGCGGCCAACGGTGATGGCCGATGGCGCCTCACAACTCATCGCAGCCGCGCCTGGTGTTCCACGAAGGAAACTTGTCCAAAGGTGTAGTCCACATCCTGAAGCTGCAGGCCGCAGTTCGGCGCGACGAGGATGTTCAGGGGAAACAACTGCAGAAACCCGCCCGAGCTTGGCGCTGTTGATTCAGTTTGGTTATTGCTTAACCTCCGATGGGAAGCAAACAAAGAAAGAACCAAAAACATCCAACAACGCATAGTCACATAGTAATATACCATAAAGTCACACTGGAATGATGCCAAGCTCTTTTGCACAAGTGGTTCCACTGCAGCTAGCTATTAGTCATCAGAGTTGGGCTGCCTTCTGGCTTAAACGGTTTAAACTAAGGCTTGTTTTAAATGCATATGCTGCCTAAACAAGTCAATGTTTAAACCAAAGAGTGCATGTATGTCTAAACAATTGCTATGGGTAGACTTGTGGGTATAATTATAGGTACATAGGTAGGTACAGTATATGATATATGGTCTATGGACTAAAACTTGGACTAAAGTCTATAGAAACCATCCTCCTCCTCCTCCTCCTCCTCCTCCTCATCATCATCATCATCATCATCATCAAAGCCTGTTGAAGCCATGTTTGAACAAAGCCATCTCCAAAGCAGCTGTAAATGTGTTTAGCTAGTTTAAAGTTTAAACGTTTAATGTTTTAATGTGTTTGACATGTGACATGACCCTGCTAGTCATGCGCTAGCAGCCCCGCCGAGCGTCTGCTGTGGGCACCGAGGGCGGACCGATGATGGCCTCGAATTCGGACGTTCCACGAAGAATGGGTTTCACGAATATGGTGTTCGGGCTTGTGTGCGTTCACGTGTCACAAAAAGGCAAGGGGTGATCACCACCATTGCCTGTCGTTTCAAAGAGTCCGTGTGAGCATTGCTCATTTGCTCGTGACGACCTGACTCTAAAAAGTCCTCTTCTTCGCATCTATGTGTAAAACGATAGATATCCGATATCCCAATACCTGCAAGGTCTCTTCTCCGATTCTGTGCCTCCCTAATAAGCCTATCTGCAGGTTGATCTGCCATGTTTTGGGCCCTGAAGATGGGGACCTGGGGCAACTGTTACCTGGGATAACTGTACGATGCTGACATAACGTACAACTACACACCTCAGAAAGCTCTCTATGACATCACCCCTTGAACATTCAAACTCTTTGCATGGCAGTATGCAAAGTGCAATTGTAAGAAGAATATCGATTCCTCCTTTGGAATTGGCACATCCGCGTCAAACAATTCAAACTGATATGAGCTGCCTGCAACCTGCAAAGCCAACCACCCGGAGCTCTCGTTGGACCTTCCTCTGCCGGAGGGCAAGCTTACTGGTGAGAGTATCCGCGCCACCCAAGCCATCGATCCTGAAGGTGAACAGTCAAAGCCATGCACCAAGGATGAGGGCAGAAGAACAGTGAAAATACAAACACATTGGAGCAAATTGTGGGCAATACCAAGTACCGCAGATATTCAGAATGTGTGCATCTGCATGTGCACTCCTATTGTCTTCCTACTTGACTTCCTCTTTCTGAAGGGTTAGGGAAACGGAGAAGCAAAAGCAAATCATACACAAAAGTTGGGTCAATTCACATCATAATGCAGACTCTTGATTAATAAACCCCCGATATGAAGAGGATACTCCATTTCAATTGGGTGCTAATCCAGAGTCTACATTAAGTTGCCTCATTGCCTTGTTCTGGTGTCTTAAACTGACCACCGGGAGTCCACCGGGTGGGGTTCCCGGTGAACCGTGGATCCCTCGGCCTCTTCAGGTGGCCCCAAGCATCTCTGCAAGAATGCAATTGATTGTGTCCACCTCTCTGGTGGCTTGATTCTTAGAAATCACAGACACCATCATATGATGTCAACCAGATATGTATCATATTCAGCTCATTTTCAGTATGAGCTATATCGGAGTGTGGAATTGGCTGATCTCTGATCTACACGAACGAAAGCCCATCAGGGTTGGCCGTACCGTCGCCTTGGTCGGCGCCTCGTAGCCAGGACTCGCCACATCTTTCACTGCCCTGGCCCTGTCCCAACGAAAACGTTTCTTTCAGCTGGGTGGCCCAAACATGCTTGGATGCATGCAGGTTTAGTACCCAAATGCACCCAGCATACAAAGAATCCACACCTCACTACTCACTACTTGTGTTTTTTGGGGCGACCTCCTCCAATTCACCTCCAATCCCGGCAAAACCCCAATCCGAACACCCCCACGCCATGCTCGGCCACCACGCACCAAGCCGCTGCCGGGGGTCCGGTGATCCAAAGATCCGCAGGATCACCGCATCGCGCAGCCTCGGCAACACTGCAAGCGAGCCGAGTGGGGATCCTCATTGGAGTATATACACCCCAAGCTGCACAATAAAGGCTTATAAAAAAACCGCATGGGTCTGTACCGTTAGAATAATAACAAACTCATGAATTTTTAGCCGTAAAAATTGGGAAAAGATCTGGAATTCTGGGCATATTCCGCTCAGATCGTCTACCACCCTGTGGGTTGGACCCAGGCCCATCATGCGACATGGGAAAAATAACCTTGATTGGTGCTTCAGCTATAGACCTTGTCGGAGTTGATACCCCGGGTACATAATTCCTCCATCAAAAGTGCGGAAAAGAAAAGGTTTCCGTCACGTTTCTCTTGTGTCGCCTCTGGGCTTTAAATTTGTTCACCCACAGTGAGTTGGTTGACCTGCGGTGAGCTGGGAGGTTGTGTGATATTGTGTGGTGGGGCTCCCGTCAGGGTGGGAGTGTTGCCTTCGAATCTGAGTTTCAAGTGCCGCTTCAGTACCTGCTGTTCACTTGGGAGGGAACATGGAGAATGAAGCCAAAGATTTGACCCTCCCAAACACTAACAACGGCAATCCACATTGGGAAAATCACTGAAAAAGCAGCTCCCAACATGTGCGGCCTTTGTCGGGTTCCAACATGTGCAAACCTGAACATCCAAAGAGCCACATGTGCAGTTGGCATGGGAACCCACAGTGTTGACGGAAACGGTCGCCGAGGGATCTCTACTTATCTATTGTCAGCCACGTATGTGGGTGCAGCTTCACCTCGAAAAGCTAGAGCTCGGCTCAAAAGGCCTTCCAACCCGCCACACCATGGCGAAGAACTGGAATGCATGGAAACAGCCTTCAAGTCAAGGGGGAGGAACGCCCCCACCCAACTCACCCAACTCACCCAACGCCCTCCTTACGCCCTCCTTTTGCGACCAAACCCTGGACCCTGGGCCTGTTACCACCCACACCCCATCGTCTCCTCATACCGAGAGGCGGCCCCGGGGGTGGAAGGTCGCCGGCACGCAGGAAAACGCCTTTGCTCGTGCCGCCTGAGCGGCTCGTTTCGCGGCCAGTGGTGCTGGCAAAGGTCGCAAAGGAAAGGGCAAGAGCAAAGACAAAGGGGTCAAGTGGGCCAGGGGTCTTTGCTGGAGCTTTCAGAACCTGGATGGTGGCTGAGCGGAGGCCCCCTCTGTGGCGAATTCCAACATGTATCCAGCAAGGCTACTTTCCGGAATGGCTATTGGATCCTGAATCTTATCCTAGGGGATGCTACGGGGAGTCTATAGATGTTAAACCATCCTTGGGTGGTGTTGGATGCGGCCAAGACCTGGAGATACGTCATGCTCATCCTTTATCATCTTGAGCAACCAAGCGGGCCCTTCCGGGCACTTCCGGCCTCTCATAATGCACGTCTGAATGGCCCGCTGCATGGCTGCGGGTATTGGCTACCGAGGTTGATGATAGGCACAGCCCAGGCATGCAAAACCATTGGTGGTTGGAAAAAAGAGTTGCCACAATGACAAGTTTGTTACAAAGGGGTCTGTTCATGTCTTCTCTTTTCCAAATACTTTCAACTCACTCCGGTTGTGTTCGCTTCCAGCATGGATTGAAAGGGGGGTCTCTCTGCGTTTCTTTTGAACATCACCGCTGTCTCCGGTCTCAGGCTGTCCGATCACATGACGACTTGAAGGTCTTGGAATGTCTTGCTTTGGCTGGCGGCTCAACAGGGGAGCGGCCTGGATTGTGCCACGAATGGTAGGGGCAAAAGATCCTGCAAAGGTTGTCCTTACGAAAATCATGCGCTGCAATCTCTTTTGGGTCGGATAGATGGAGAGAATCCAGGAGTATCTTTGAAAGCTCCTTTGCTAGCTGCTAATCAGGTTGACGAATCGCGTGGAGGCAAATGGGTTCTTATGGGTCCAATATGGTCCACTTACGTCCTACCTAGCTCGATCACCCCAAACATCTCAGGCATGTCACAGCACGCAGATCGACGGGGATGTATATCAACGACTTCCGGTTCTGAGAAACCCATTGTCGACTGCGCAACAACAATGCGTTGCCACTGAAGTGCCTCAGTCCAAATCTACGCCAAACACAGCGGCATGGTGGTTCCAACCAACCTTATAAACCTTTCCGGAGGCTGCCAGCAGCCTCTTCAGCCGTGATCTGCTGCTGGCTTGCAGCATCCAAGACCTAGGAACAGCTTTCCGACCTTGGACGAACCCTTTTGTCTATCGATGCTTCAGAAATCCCTGCACGGGATGGAAATGGATGGGACGTTTCTAAGAGAAACATAGTTCATGGTCGTTGGTCACGGGGTGAGTTGAAACTGTTGTCCCCTGCGGCTTGCGCCAGTTTGGTCCACCCAGGATATAGCCATGTGAAATGAAGCATGTGAAGCGTGACCAAAAGCTTCCCAAGAATGAACTGCTAGAAAGGCGGCAGTGTTTTCCGTTGAGGTTTCAGCCCTCCTAAGGCCTGACCCCCCAAGCTGGGAGGTAGGGATACAACCTACAGAACGATTGGGCTTTGAATGGAACATGCGCTAGAAAGGCACATGTTCACGCGCACCGCAGTGGAACCCACCATGGGTAGAGACCCCCACGGACGCCGCAATCGACCAGGTGTCGCTGGGCATCCCCTGCGGCCTTTTGAAGCTGCTGCAGCTCCCCTTTCAGGGTCTCCGACCTGGGCGATGCACGGAATAGAATAGACTATATACTAATATAGGAGATCTAAGAAGGTCAACCTACCAGGATATTTCCCAATGGATTTCTGAAGATTCTCAAGAATCAGATGCGATTTCCCTGGCCCTTCGTGGCTGTGCCTTGCTTGACCTACCTGGGAGGTCGTTCGCCACCTGGCAGACTGGTCAGACGTGGATCACGTCCCATTTGACCCACACCCGGAGGCCCCGGCTCGCTTCGGAAGCTCTCGGCCAGCCTGGGCCGCGGGACCCGGGTCCCTTCACGGGCGAAGGAAAAGCGTGGCTTGGCTCCTCTGTTTTCTGCAAAGCAGCGTCTTGAGCGACCATGCTGCGTGAGGGCGTGTGAGGCCACGAGGCCGATTCCCTCTGTTTGAGCAGGTGTGCACCTGTTCGGAAACCGTTCCTACGTTTCCATCTGAACCGAAGCCATCTAAATATACCGAGATGATCCGAGATGCACATGATACCACATGAAAATACATCAAAGGTGGGAACAAGACAACCTAGATTGTCCCGGCTGCCAGTGTGCTTTGGTGTCCTATATAGTGCCACCTCCATTGAACACGAAAACAAAACTAAGATTTGGAGAAAAACAACGGACTTGAGAGATCTCAATTCGAAAAAAATGAAAAAATGGTCTGCCTTTTCTTTCCGCCTCCCATTGAGGATCACACCCTCTCTGCTTTTGACATTCTTCTGAAGCGTCTGCCGCCTGCGAGGTGCCAGTGCATCCGTGTTGGTCCTGCGCTTGCCCCAGATTATCACATTTATAAGGATCTTGACCTGTTTGGACACCCAACAGAACCCGACACCGCATAGGCATGTACAGATGATTTATCTTTTCTCAGTCAGGTTCTTGAAGGTTTGCAGCAATTCCAACCACGCCCCTAGTGTCGAAGCTCATGATACATAGGGGTGCGGAAAGAAGGGCACGATCGGGAATCAGGAGGATCTACTGTAACTCGAAACTCAGTTTAAGTATGCTGAGCCTGGCGAGGAATTTTGCGGACAAACACATATCCACCCCATGAACTCGTCAATGCCCTCCCATTATTATGCAGCCTTGTCGATGAGCTCCGCACACTTGGTATCCAGAGCTGCTCGGCCTCACATAGAAGACGCTCAAGGGAAAAGTGTTGAGTTGAATTGTTCCTGAGTCATGTCGAATCCATGTAGCATCCCAGCCTCAAAGCTATATGTATAGCTTGCTTAGTACATGTGATTTCGTTGGGGACCACCGACCATGCAACACTTGGGAACCCAAAAGGCTGGCACCCCCCCCACCAAACGAACCGTGGCCACCACATATTGCCCTGAGTGCTCGATGCAAGCTTCTCCTCGCCAAATCTAATCAAATCTATGATAGAACGCGCCCCCGTTCAAAGAGAGCATGAATGCAACATGCGCTCAGGCAAAAGAACTTGCTGGAGGATTTCTGGTGCCGAAGTTGACCATGTTCTGTCTGGATCTGTCTGATGTGCTGTCTCTATCCGTGGCTTGGAGGATTGGATGGCAAAGCCAACGCCAGAGAGTTATGTGGGCCTTGAAACTTGTTCAACCTTGGTGAGTCTGGCTGATATACCAAGTCCACACCAGTTGCTCTGGTTTTTATATAGCAATTTTGCGCACATAGCACAAGAGACCCGCTTTTTCTACCAAAGGAGGCTCCATGCCTCCTTTGCGCCTTCGGCGCCTGGACACCGGCGGGACCCCGGGCTGCTTCGCAGATCTGCAAGCTCAGACCTCGTGGGTCCAATGGAGGCTCATCACGGTGGCGCGGTTTCGGTGGCGCGGGCGCACGCGCATCGTTCAGAACTGGTGGCGAGTTTCTGCATCCAAGTCAATTCATATACTAATATGTCATATCATATCATATCTGATCATATGAATCATATGTGTTATATTTCAAGTTGTCTAACACACAAAAAGTAAGAAACTCATGTGGCGACCTCTGAATGCAATGCAAAGGTGTGGCGTGATTTGATGCCAACTCCTGTCCTGGGGTCCCTAGCGTTGTTCCAGGTTGGTAGGTATTTAAACTTGGTCACTCAATCTTGGAGGCATAGGTCTGTGACGGTCTGTGCAAAGAATATGCCTGATAGACCAGGATATAAGTTTCCCACCAAAACCCTCGCCCTGAAATCAGGCCGTTGTGGTCCCGGGGCGCCGGGCACGATGGCTTTCCACTCATCGGCGCGCGCCAGGTTCTCGTCCTTACGGAACTCTCACGGTGCATGAACTCTCGGCCTCGGGACTAGGAGCGCAACAGGAAGAGGATTAAGAGGTCCGTTTTACTTGCCGGTGCTGCGGAAACAAAGAGGCACCTCGCCATGCGCCCGGAAAGTGGTGTCATGTGCCGAAAACCATAGGTTGGAGAGCTAGAGTTGGACGAGCTCCGCCGCAGCTACCGGTCATAACACCGTGTCACGTTGCCCACGGGTCATGCTACCCCTTGGATTGACCGAATAGAAAATGAGGTTGTCTTTAAATGGATGTGAATTTTAACAAAACCATAAAAATGAGGGGTGCTTCCTGCGCCGGCACTTCCTCCGCCCGCTAGAGCCGTGACCCGCAAGCGTTCGGCGTCGGCTTTCAAGTCTTCCTGCCTGGCGACCGTGGAGCACGTCGCATCAAAGGAATGTCCACCCAGCACCTAACACCTAATCCGCATAATTATTCCAAATTTATGGGCCGTGGCTTAAGGGGACCCCCTCTCCAGGCCCCTGGAATAATTTGTTTAAGCCACCCCCTATCCAAATTTTATTCAAATATTCTGTGTACTACACCCTGAATGAAGGAGTTCATGCCCACTTGCCCACAGGGGTGCTCACAAGGCCTTTGAACTTATTTCTTCCAAACCAATTCAATCTGTCGAACACATCCTGAACATCACATTCTGATGTTTGAACAAACATCATGATTGAAAAATATTGAAAACATGATCAACATGTCGAAAACATCACGTTTGTCACTTTTCGTGTTGCCCTGGCTGCGTCGCAGGGACCCATCCGAATCCGGCTCCGTCGCCTGGCTGCGGTGTAAAGCTCCTGATCCTTCACCTGCGCGTCTCCCAGACCGCATGGGAGGCAGGGTGTTGTGGTCTGTGCTTTCACCCGTAACGCACACACACAGAGACACACACACACACACACCCGGCAGGTGCTGCCTTTGGCGACACGTGGTGTGCGGAAACCACTTGCTACCCTCCAAGAGCCACCTGTTGCAACATCCTGGCCAGTAATTCACATGGATTCGCCACTGGATTCGCCTTGTTCGGTCTGAGGAAGCGGTGGCAACATGCTCCTGGGTTCGCCGGACGTGAAACCCACACACCCACCCCATCACCAGGAATTTCTTTTCCCCCTGTCATGTCAATAACCAGAACCAAAACCCCAGCCCAAAAACCCAACGCATTCTCAGGACACACTACGACAGTCAGGTGGCGCGGGCAATGGATCGGTAAGTTGCTGGTCACTGGACTCTGTCAGCTCCGGCTCGGCCTGCTTCGCGAGGATATCTCGCTCGGCCTCCATCGGTGAAACGGCAGAGCCGTAAGACAAGACAAGCTTTGGATGGTCAGTCAATTCCTACCCTTTGAGATCTTCTGAGCCTTCTTCTATCGGTAGTTGGATCTCTCAACTAAACGCCTCAACAATTCTCCGCACCAGAACAACCCAAACCTCTGCTGCCCTGATCACTCACTCCTCCCACACCAAACCACGGCCCGAGTTGTCATTCGCCGCCTGCACCTTCAAGAGCTCGGCCTCCAGCGCCTGGTGCCTGCACTTCCAGTGGATCGAAGGAGCAAAAGAGATACTTCAATTTTTTAAAAAATTAGGCATCTTCATCGGTTACACTGCATGTCAAAATTGTACCTACTTCACTATATGGCAATCCAACATTTCCCCAAACATAGAGCTACGCAACAAAAAGTCTGAGAATCTTGGCCATTCTAAAAGGTATCTCGCCATGTGTCACCCTAAACGATCACACACGCACGACGTGTCACTGATGGTCCTGCACGACACCAACGACCCAACGACCTGGAGAGACTACAGCACTCTACAGGTAATGTAGACTCTTGATTCATAAATCCACATGTAAATCCTTGTTCAGTCCAAATCGCAGGGGGTTTTACTAAATCCCTGAAATAACGTGTAGTATAGGTCAAATCTACTACTTACTTCATCTGACTTCCGGATCCAGCAACCCACTGTACTAGCGAGTGAATCCTGCTGCGACATTCGGCAGGATATGGCGGGAATTCCGATACTTCGATTGGTCCGTGTGTTGGAACTCCCACCCTCGCTGAGCTCCAGGCGTCTTTCGCAGGCCCTGTGCGCAGGAGCTTGGAGAGAAAAATCATGCTAGCTCCATGGCAACATTGGCTTACCATGCATGCATGCAAACCTATCATTTGTTTGGCCAAGCAGGGTTAGCGGCTAGCATTTCTCTGAACTATCGATCTTAGACCAATTCACCACAAATTCAGCGACCCCCCCAAGACATCGACGTGAACTCCGTGGGAGAACACGTCGATGTATGTCGGATGTTCTTCTCACCTCATCCTCCAAGCCCTGGCGACTCTGCAGTTGCTTCGCCTGGCCGAGTTCAGGGGGGGAGAAGAGTTCGGATCGGCGAACTGGCAGGATGGGGAAGGGGGGGGTTGGTTCCAATGATCCTACAGGCGAACTGGCGTCCCACCGGTGTAGCACGGCGGGCTTGGCTCCTTGAGACCGAAGTGAGCAAAGGCGAAGGACTGTCCCACGGGTCCCGCGCAGCAACCTTTATCGACTACTTCGATTGGCCCAGTAGGAGCGCTGGGGGCCGCGGATCGGCCTAAAGGTGTTCGAATCAACTCGACCGGGTCCAGCGGAGGCCTGCTCGATCACCCGCTGGTGCTCAGCAGTCAGGGCCTCCGTCGGTGTCCGCTGGAAGAACGTCAAGCACTCAATAACATCAACAAGCATGGGGGCGCGCACTAGCCCGGATTCAGACCCCCAAGTACCATCGAATCGGTCCACATTTTTTGGCTTCTTGAACTAATGAGATGGCATCTCCGTCAGACCTCCGCCACTTTTGTCAAGAACGAAGAGTTGCTGAATGGCACCGGACCGCAGTGAAGCCTATGGGACGGACCCTCTCGCCGCCCTCCGGACAGACAGCCGGTTTACCGGCTGGATATCCATCTGCTCGGCGCCTCGTGCCCTGCGAGAGCTTCTTCAGCACGGAGGTTCAGGTCCTTGGACGATCCGCCGGGGTTCTCGGATCTCCGGTGGATCCACGGTGCATTGCAGGGCAAACGCACCACGGTCATACCATGCACCATTCCGCATTGAAATATGCTCGGTACCATGGCCCGGCCATGGCTTTTGGTCGTGACAAGCACACGAATCCCCCCTGTCCTGGGTTGGTCTAGCATGCTTGGGTGACTGAAATGACTGTCTAAAGGTGTCAACCACCCCCAAGCATTCAGCTAAGACAGCTGCAGAGTGATCAGCTTCGAGGTTGTTGTAGCGGGCACCTGGTAAACTGCCGCAATTGCAAGCTGCCCAAAGGAAATGTCCCCATGTTTTGGATGCGTGTCCTGTCCTCCAACAAAAACTGAGAATACTAGCAACATCTAGCAACACTAGCCGTGCTGTGATCGCACCGTGTATAATTGTGTATACACTGCACCTATACTATACAACATGAAACGGGCACATACTCAAATTACATACAATAAGCAGTCAGTCCATCAATTCCAGCAGTCCATGGGTGGCGACCGGAAGTGCGTCGCTTCTTCCCGGTTCCCGTCTCGGGGGCCGTCCGATGATGTCGCTCCCGGGGGTCCTTCCGGTCTTCCAACAGGATGAAGGAATCCGGTGCAACGATCAAAGTGACAGGACCTTCTAAATCTCAGAATAGTAGGTTCCTCGATCAGGTCCAAGATCTTGGCCGGCCATCAGCTTGGGATCATGTCCTCTTTAGACTACAGAATGTAGATGTCGAACTCTGAAAAAACTTCAACAAGAACCCCAGTTCAGGTCCGGTTCAGCAAGAAACACATCCAAAACCAACTACCATCAACCAACCCCCGAAGGTCCCTAAAACTGAACATCTAAGCGTCACCTTTCTCTCTCTCTCTCTCTCTCTTCGTCTCCCCTTTTCGGCGTCGCATGGGGCTTGGGCGTCCCGAACGCAGCTCGTCACACCTCACTCGGCGTCGAGGTGGGGCGGGGACGATCGGCCCACCAACATCCACCAAAAAAGAAACGATCTTGGCAGTCGCATTGTTATAGATGGTTATATAACCATATAAGTAACCATTTATATAGGTGATATAACCCTATATATATATGTTATAGATGGTTATAGGTTCCTGCTGAAGCGTGGTTCTTTCTGCGTGGCTGAAGCGGGGGACTCGGTCGTTCGAAAATAGCCCCAATTTCCTGCCGTCGTGCCGATTGTTTTTGCATACATATTAATGACCGTAGCTGGTGAAACACCCCAGACTTGGCAGTCGCCCAGGCAGGCTTGCGGCCGCTCCGGCCGAAGCTCATGGGCTGAAATCACCTGGGCGGCCAACAACAGATCCAAATCGCTCCAAATGGGATCCAAATGGGTACGGTCTGGGCTCTTTGGTTTGACATGCTTTGACTCCATCGCCTTGGATTTGGTCCTGAAGGAAAACCTGAAATGAATACCCCGACACACACATACCCTTGAATGGAAAACAAAGAAATTAGTCTTCGTAGGTCTTGGGTGTTCTTTGAAAGAACTTGGACCCGACTTGTCTATAGTGGAAAATTTTGAGGGAAGGTTTTTGGATTTGCTGGCTGCAAGGGTTCCACCATCTAAGGTCAGAAAGAACAAAGACGACTGGTTTGGGTTTCTCCATCTGGTGAGACTGCCCTTTTTGGGGTTGAGCCTTGTGGATGGGGCGTATAATTGAGACACGCAAACTAGGTTGCTGTTTTCTGGATTGCCTCCCAAAATAACAAACAAAACTGGTCGCTGGTCTTATACTCCCACCTCGCTGGACGATCTTCCCACCCTGCCGCGTCTTTTTGATCAATACGTCTCTTGCTCCTGTTGCTCTTCCAGGTCCAATCTTGCTAAAACTTCGTCGATGGAGGGGATGCCACTCGACTTGCTGGGTGCTTCCTTCAACTTGGCCGAGATCACCTGGACTGGACGGCGAGATCGCTGATCGATCGAAAGTGCGGGGAGGTCTGGGGAAAAGGAAGCACTGATACGACCAAAGGAACAAACATCATCAGCAGCAGCACTAATTCCAAGGAGCAGCACCACAACGAAGACCAACAACACCAACACCAGCAAAAGTGCCCCAAGTCAAAAGAATGAAGGAAACACATGGAATCCTCTTCATCTCACCCTTATTATCTTTACATAAGTTTCCCTGGCCTCCTGCTTGGGCGACGGCTTCGCCACCGGCACCTCCTCCGGAGCTTCGACCGACTTCGGCTCTCGCCGTTGCCGCCAGGCCCAGCGCGAATCCCCCGCGGACGTCGCCTTCGGCTGCGCCTCGGAGCCGGGCGGGGCCGGGCGGAGCCGGGCGGAGCCGGCGAGCGAAGGGAACCGGAGTGGTACAGAAAGGAACGGAACCATCGGAACCGGACGTTCCAGAAGAGGATTCAGGGAGATGATGGGAAGGTGGAAGCGGAGACAAACATGTACACATATAGATTCGATGTGTATAAAGCATCATAAAGCTATATCTGCCATAATGAATGTGTTTTAAATAATTAGTTTTTTGATGATACTGAAGAGGCTCAAGGCCGGCTGTGGGCAGCAACACGAAAAACATAAAAAGAAACAAACACCGGCTCTGTCCCTTCAACCATCTGAACAATCCATGAACCGTCCTGACACAACTTCCACCATCCGCTTGGCTTGGACCCAAATGTCATAGAAAAAGGGGACGCGGGACAAGCAAACTAAATCCTTTCGAACTCATTCAACACAGAAAGACACCACCAATCACCCAAAAAGAACCTTCGCAGTCCATTCTCCACGCAGCCTTGGCATCAGCGCCACCATTCGCATGGCCATTAATGCCATTGACTGATGTGCTCACCTGGTCGACGTCGACGCTGAGACCTTTGAGGACATCCTGGGCCTTGTCCTTGGAACGATCGGATGGCGGTTCCACTGAGCAGCCGTGTCTCAAGTCACAACCCAAAGGCCCAAGCTGAACGAGCGAATCGGCCAGCGATTCTGAACCGTTCTACGTCCGACTGTCCGACCAGTCCGAACCATGCCGCAGTACATGTACGACTCTCGATGAGGCTGTGTCCTCAAGAGGGGGGGGGTTGAGGAGCACTACATGAAACGCGCCGTTGCATCGTTCCATCCTTCTCTTCCAACGACGCGCGCACCCACGGGTGGGCGTCATCGCCGACCACGGCGGCCACGAGGTTTCACCTCCAAGCTGCGGCTTCACCAGCTTCATGGAAGAGTGCCGACAAGAACTCGCAGGCGTTCTCGCGATAGTCCTGCCAGGCCAAAAGAAAACAATGCCGGAGTAGGTACAGTAAGGCCCTCTTTTCAGGCTCTGCTCCTCCTTTTCAACAAACACCCCGTGTGCCTATATAACTGCCTATATTCAACATAATACGTTGAAGTGGGTCAGGATCTCCGAATCACCAAGATCCCTTCCAGTGAGATCCGTGAGGCTTGGCAGGACATGTCCATCCTCTTCTCGGCAGTCTTCCCAGATCTTCCAGTGCCTGCCCCAGAATACTTCCAACCATCCGACCCCCTCGAAGCACATCCAAAAAGTGTGGGTCCCATTTGGTTCCCCACCCTTCAAATATTTTTGGGTTTCTTGGATGATCCCCGCAGCTCCTCTCGTAGCTCTTGGTCTCGGTAGACCTCCATCAGCTTCGCTTTTGCCGTGCGCGACGCCGTCCGTTGCTCCGTCTCTGTGGCGCTCATGGCCTTCCCTCGGCAGGAAGGGGATGGGGCAGGGCCAAGCTCCAAAGCGTGGATCGCTTAGCAGGAAGCTAGCTAGCTGCTTCTGATATCTTCTGATATTATCTCTCATCATGTTGGTCGTTTGGAAAATGGGTGTTCAGTGAAGGCGCCTAAGGATCCGGGGTCAAGTTATAATAACTATAAAATTAATATAAATTAATGCTTGAAAATGATATCGGTTATACTAGATTCTGATGTCTTGGGACTTGTGGCCTCTAGTGAGAAAGGACTTCAGCCCAGAAGTCCTAGGTCATCTGAGTATTCACTGATTTGATTTTGCATATACATTTACATATACATTGTAATACTATCTGTACCCGTTACACATGTTAAATGATCGATGGCAACCGCTGTGCCATGGCTTGGGTCGAAGTGGCTTAAAAAGTAATGTGCAGAGCCGTGCAGGAACTTCGCCAGCACGTCGTCCTCCAGCACAGGGAGCACTTTCCTTGCATCGCCCAAACGAAGGAAAGGCGCTATCGAACCACGGTTCCCTTGGGCGATCTCTCAAATCTTGTGAAGGGGGAGGGTCTGTAGGTATGTGTTGGTGGCTTGTTAGGCTTGTTTAAAAGGAAATCGAAAGGTTGGGCATCATCCTGTTCCCTTTGAAAGATATAGGTATTGATTTCACTCAAAGTCCCGTCGGGTCCAGCTTGGCTGGCTGGAATTCGCCGGGGCTTGTGGACAAATTCACCTTGCAGAATGGTTTGGGCTAGGCCGAGGCAAATTTGATGGAACATTGCTCAAAATTCATTCAATGCAAGAAGCAACAGAAATCCACAGCCCATTGTGATCGGTTTGCCAAGTTTGATCCATAGCCGGGTGGAAATCATCGTGAAACATGATGAACATGCACATTGGCGGGCTTTGCACCTCCCTTCACTTCAATTTTTCCGTCGCTTTCTCTGAATCATCCCTCCCCCCAAATCCCCATCTGCTCCCCGAAACCACTCCCCAACCCCTACCTACCACCGGCGACCGCAACACCGCTGCCGCGACCGGGACGAGGAACGTGTCCAGAAGCCGGAGGCATTTTCGTGCCACCTAGAGGACGCTACGAACGGGGCTCCTGGCCCTACTAGGAGCAAGGACGCTATTTAGTGGCTGGCATCGCTACGAACGGAGCTAATTGACTACTAGTTACTAGTTACATCTATAGTTACTAGTAGCAGCTACGAACGGAGCAAAGGGCATCGCTACCACCGGAGCGATCGCCACGCTCCGTTTTTGGGGCGCTGCCTTCTCCGCCGCCGGGCCCAGCTCCCAGACCTCGGTCGGGTTTCGGATGCGCAGACCGCGGGAGCTTCGACGCTCCCCAGACCGGATCCAACGGGGTCAACGGGGTCTGAGAGCGCGGTGAGTTTGGGGAGGAGCTTCCCGAAGCCATGCACAGCTTAGCTTGTTTGGCAGCCTAGGGGCCTAGCTTGTGAGGGGAGGTGGATCGTAAAGGCCCGAAAAGGACGGCGGGGGGGGATGGGCCCTATGGGTAAGGCAAGCCAGGCAAGACAATGATCATGCATGATAATGTATGTGTTGCTTCAGAAAGGAAAGCTAAAACAACACAATTGGTAGTTCTAATCCAGATTGCTTCACTGGCCGCCATGAACGGGATAAGCAAAATCATTCAATTGTACATGGTAATCGGTGATATCAGGGGGGGTGTCCAAGCTGCGCTGTTGCGAGACCTGAGCCAAGGAGTCCAGTTTAAGACGGACGTGGTTTAGATGGATCATTGAGGGCCTCACAGCTCCACCCTTTGGCCAAACGACCGTCAGATATGGCGATTCGCCTTTTTGTTGGGACGTGTTCAGTAACATGGCTATCATGGCGTATCATAGTATGACTGATGGATCCACGACATGGGAAATCATAGTCTTTTGGCGCTCTTTTACTTGCACCCTGTGATAACCGCCACCCTGACATCTCACTACCAAGACGCACTCCCATGACCCATGAAGCCTGCTTGGTACCTCAGATTGCGCTGGAACGAGCCCAAACAACCTTATACTATATATAGGTGTGTCTTGCCTGTGGCATGCTGACTCCCAGCCTATACCAACTACAAACATGTTCATAGCGTGGCATTCCAAAGTGGGTGACCGCCTACAGTAGCCGCCCAAGAGACATCCAACGTCAACGTAGCCCATCAAACGTCCTCCGGCTCCCATTCATAAGTCGCTTCATCGGAAACACATGGAAAAAAACATGCAAACAC